ATTCTGCCTCACCTTGGGCCCAGAGCAGTGGAGTTTGCCAACCATATACCAAATCTCTGAAACCAGGAGCCAAAATCATCTCTGCCCCCTTAAGCTATTCTTGTCAGGTATTCTGGTCACAGTGACACAAAGCTGATAACACATAGGTCGATTGTGGGGAACATAGAGCAGGTCCTATCACTGCACCAACATTGTGCCGGGGGTCGGCTCTTTGTATTGGTCTTGTTATGAAGGAAGCACACAACCCGCCATACAGCTTTCACAGAAATCACGACTCCTGCATAATTGCTCCAGGTACTAAGTCAGGGTAGGATTTAAGAGTGACTTTCAACAAAAATATGGCCATCCATCCAGTGCTTTCCAGTCTGCAGAACTGCAAGTGGCCACCTCCTGGCAGCAGGGGCCCAAATGCTCTCGATGCTGTCACTCCAAGGAATCTCTAAGGCTTCCAAGTTTCCTCTGGGAAAGTATTCCCCATTCATGGAGACAATGGGTCCACGTGTCTATGAGTATGGCAATAGGAGGTCAGAGGAGTCAACAGTTTACCAGACCAATGAATGAGGTCTTACAAATAAATACATACTTAGGATAGACTTTTCCAACTTGGCCTCATTGGTTGGATCACCTATGTGCCTTTGATGAGCAGCTGTATCATCTAAGGGAATCTTCATGTCTTCATCTCTAAATCTATCCCCACACACTCTCTGCCCAGATAAGCAAAGATAAGTATATGTGTGTGTGTGTGTGTGTGTGTACACGTGTGCATTAGATGGTGGGAAGAACAAGCAGCAGTGTGTAGGAGGCACCTACAAATGTCTGCACCTTTGTGTATATATAAATGCATCTATTTAGCCAATTCTGGAGCTGAGCTCTTGGGGGCTGCTGTAACCAACCCCCTCAGTATGTAGCCAGAATCCCCTAATTCCCACACTGTTTCCACTTACACTCGGAATTTCCTGGGAAGATTATTTACTCTTGTTTCTGTTGTTTGTCTATTTCTATTTGGGGAAAGCCAGCCCCACCGGTTACTCCTCCCTTTCCTTCTCTACCACCACCCACTACCTGTCCTCTCTCTACTGACTGCTGGGTCTGGCTGGCTGCTTCCTCTGGGCCCTGTCTGGGGTGGGAGGGCTGAGCACTGGGCAAACTGGAACCGAAGTGGCCTCAGAACAAAAGAACCAACTTCTCCACTGTCCAGGCAGCCCTCTTTGGGAGGATGCACGTTAATACATCAGTCACACCGGCTGCCCTTCACTTCCCTTGCAAAACTGACATTTCCTTTCTGAAGGATCATGAGCCTGAAATCTGTAGGGTGCTTCAACAAACCTTGTAACTTCAGGCAACAACGCTGTCCCAGAGCCTTGGTTTCATCATCTGTAACAGGGGCTACCACCTCCTACCCTCCTAGGATGGCTGTGACCATGGGAGGAGCCAGCAGGGACTCCCAAAGTGGTTGTCCATATTATTGGCAGCTCTGTGTTTAAATTGGGAAACTTACGCTCTGAACCCCGGGGTTTAGGTGAGGTCGGCTGAAGTTAACTGGACAATCTCTGGAAACCACAGGCATCACCAAACCAGGCCAACAGCCTCTTTGCTACAAGAGTCACCTGTCAGCTCTCCAAGATGGTCATGATGTCATCAAGCATACCATGTTTGGTGCACTTCATTATTCCTGAGTTGACATCGTACTAAAATTACCAAATAGACAAGGCCCTCCACTTTCTTGCTCTTCCATTCAAACACCTGACAGGGCACGGAGGAGGGAGAGCCACCTGCCCAGGGAAACTCCTGGGACAAAATAGATGTCCTTGGCTGTGTCTCAGGCCTGCTCTCATGCCTGTGGAAGGTACAATTACTGCTTAACATTCTTTATGCCCTAGCAAAGCACTCCGTAGCACCCATTATCTACAGATCACTACTCCCCTCCAGTTTCTGTACCCGGCTTTGCCTACAGTCAGACAATTCACCCCCAGGGATAATGGTGTTTTGTAAAGAACCCTGAAATGCACCTCCAAACCCCTTGTGCTCACATGGCTCCACTTAGAGCTCCTCTCGGAGCAGCATTCAGTAACATTCTTTGAGTAATTGATCAGAAGCCTCGGCTTGTATTAACATTTGCCAAGCACTTTCCACATAGGTCCAAGAAGGCACTGAGAGTTCTGCGTGTTGTTTTCATACGAAGTTATAGTTCCTGGAAGTTCCCACAACTGAACTGGGCTATCAGTTTCTGGGGCCTCCAAGAGGCAGAGAGCAGCAAAGGGTCCCAAAGCGTGGAAGTCAGAGTACAAGTGTAGACCAAAGGGGCCAGAGCTGGTTCCAATCTTGCGAGCTGTCACCCCTATTCATCCCCAAGTTTCAAAAGCACCCCAAATTCCTACTTCCATCACTGTGGCGTGAAAGAGGAGAGCCCGGAATGTTGATGAGGGAGTGGCTTTTCCCATTTAGGCCCAGAGTTGATATTTCAAAACAGCCGCTTCTGGTGTGTCATAACTCATCTGGTAAGTTCACCCGCTGGTGGGAATTTGTGATTGGATTTTTATCACCTGAGGTTTCTAGCTCTCTCAGGACCTGGGCTCTGGCATGTGACTGCAGGCTCCCTCACCCCAGCCCTGCAGCAGCCACACTTGAGCACTTCTGTTTTCTTTTCTGATTGGAAAGGCCAAAGTGGGCTCCAGTGCAAAGGGTCAAATAGGTATGATTATAAGAGCCATGTATAAAAACTCAGAAATTGAGGAAAGTTTAAAAAGAAAGTTAGCCACCCATGATCCTATACTCAGAGACAGGCTTGGTCAATACTGATCTTATTACGTGTAGATAGAACTATTATAAGACACAATGTTTTGAATCCCATTTTTTTAATAACACCATCTCGTGACATTTTTCTCATATCCTCAAATAATCTTTGAAAACCTTTCCTTTGTACTTTCTTATTCATTTTTTTTAAATCACAAAAGACACACTTATAAAAAAAAAATTGAACAACTACAAAAAGACAGTATAATTGAAGGTCCCATCAGTCACCATCTGTGGCTGACCCCCTTCCCTGGGAACGGCTACTCTTGGCAGCTTGGAGAATATGCTCACAGATCTCTTTCTGTGTGTGTAGATCTACCCAGGCTCATAAATAAATTAGCAAATTTGAGATGCACAAAACAAAAGCTCACTCTGCAACAGTTGCTTGTGTGGAGAGCTCAGCAAGGGAAACAAACACCAGGAGCCACCGTTCCCACGCTAGTGCACAACTGTGGCCATGGTGGGCCCTGGGGCTGGGATCAGTGGGTACCTTAACACCCTGGTGCCATGACAAGGCGCTGGTTAGCAACCTCCAACGACAGTGCTAGTTTAAATGCTTTACATAAATTAAGATTAAATCTTGTTTAATCTTCTTAGAATGCTGTAAGGAGGGGATCTCTGGTACCCATATCACAAATCAGGAGAACAGGATAAATGGCAGCACTGCAATTTCATCAGCTCTACTCTCAACCAGCACAGCACCCCCTATGTATTAATTTATTTCTTCCATCATTCACTCGTCCTCCACTCAGCAAGTACTCTGTGGGTCCGTAACACGCAGGTCCTGTGAATACCAGTGCAGACCTGCCATCACTTTGTAGAAGAGGGAGAATCTGGCCCCATCACCCCGGACAGTGCTTTCAAAACCCAGGCTTTATTTGGAAGATTAGTCAAAGAGAAATAAGGGCCCTGCCAATCACGCGGGTTTGCGTGTGAGCCTCAGGGCAAGGCATCATGGACAATGAGTCAGCAGCCTGGGGTGACACCCACAGATCAGCACAAGTTTTTAAACTTTTCATTTGCATTATTGGTAAAGCTTTGGGAGAACGGACATCTAGAAGTACCTAGAAATGAAGAACATCCCCACTGCCGGGGAAACTTTAATTGAAAACCAATTGTGAGAAATTTAGGTCATCAACGGTAATGGTGGCTATAAAATGTAAATTGGTGGCATAGCGACTCCCAACACGTCAACCCTGTTCAGCTTCTCATGCACGGGAGGACTGAATCTCCAGCATGAACAGCCTTGCAAGCAAGCGGTTTGAAAACTGAGTCTAGAAAGCTCCAGCAGCCTGCAGTTTTTCCCCAAACAGAAAAGCGGAACATTTGACAGCTTACATACCCTTGTCTGTGAGATTTTTTTGAATGGCTTGAATAGTATGAATATCCAGAATATGTGGATTCGGTATCCATAGCAATGAACAGCTTCCTCTTGATGAAGGAGCAGGCGCTGTTTCTCCTTCAAGGCAGATAATTTCACCTACTGGTTCCTAAAGCCTCAAGGGGTCTGGGAACCAGAGGAGGAGCTTCTCTCCACCAGGAACGAATTCTGGGAAAGAGGAAAGAAAGAGGGATCAATCTCCAAAGCCAATCTTAACTGGGCTGAAGGACAATGGACCATATAGTCATCTTTTCCCAGGTGCCTAGGATGGGTGTCAATTGAGCTTATCCCAGCAACAGGAAGATGGGTGGTGGGAGAGCCAGGGCAGTGGTCCATTTCCTGAGCACAGCCTCACCCTCACTGGCTTTAGCTGTAGGAAGTGTCTTCTCACACCAATGCTAGACAGAATGCCCAGCCCCCCACTGCAGGTTAGTTGAATAAATAAACAATACCTAGGGAAAGAGCTTTGGGGTCATAATTTCCAAATGTCAATTTAAAAACAAATTCTGTCTCTTAAATTCAAGAATCCAAACACATAAAAATTTACCTTAAAAGAGCTAATTCTTAAAGAAGAATAATTATTCCCTGTCTCTAATACTAAAAAGCTAAAAACAATCTAAATGACCTTCCCCCACCAAAAAAAAAAACCAAAGGAATCAGTAAGGAAACTCATGGTTCATCCAACCAAAGAAATATCACATACCTGTACAAAGTGATAATGATAAAGAATGGAGACTTTTATGATGAGTGACAAATTCACAAAGCAGGATACAGGATTGTAGATGCACACAGAGTCTAAACATTACAGTTACAATCACATAAAAGAGCTTATGTAAGAAAAAAAGAATTAAAAGGGGACATCAGAAAATGAAAGACCATGATTGATTGATTGCAGGCTCCTGGGTCCTTCCCCACACTTTCATTAGGTATTGCTTTGCAATAAAAATAAATTGGAAACATTTCCAAGTACATTCCTGAGTTCCCACTTGCTAAAGCTTTACTTCTAGGAAATTCTGTCTCTCCCAGCACCCCTCCAGAGCTGGACTCCGCCCAACAGGGCTCCTCCTTCCAGCGCCCCTGGAAGCTGAAACTGCAAACAGAGCCAGTGAGATAAGTGTGAAGAAAACACAAAGGAGTGGCAAATGCCATACCCCTACCCCTACTGGGAAGAGGCCCAGTCTCCCTGACCCAGCTAGCAACAAGTGTCTGAAGGGAATCCAGCGGCGGGTTGGGGCATGAATTGGGCCTGCATGTCACATCACCACACACCAACCCACTCCCCAGGGCTTCGAATACTGATGAGGATGAGACTGTCCTGACTAATTGTGCAAGGTCTGTCTGTTGCCCAGGGTAAGCCTCCTCTACCCAGGGTATCCTGACTCCTCATTTCACTTCTCCCTGGCCATGAAGTCGAAGGCGAGCCCTGAGGAAGCCTAAGTTCCGGCCCAAGCTCAGCCACCATGTCTCACAACCTGGGATAAGCCACTAGCCTTCTTGAACCTTGTTTTGCTAAACGGGGATAAATCAACCAGCCACCACCCAAGCAGATACTGTAGTATCCAGAGCTGGTTGCAACCCCCTTGACTCTCTTCCTAGCTACAAGACCTCAGTGAAATGATTGAACCTCTGAACTTGCAAACGGCAGGATGGCTGTAACGAGCAAACGTGGCCAGGCATGGGGTGAATGAAAATTGGAGGCCATCAACACACCCTTCAATGGTTCCAAACTCCAAGTTCCCCTTGTCCTCAGTGAGAGAAAAGCTTGGGAAGGAGCTGTGGGGGAAGAGCCTGCGTGGGAGGCTTCCCACCCTGAGGCTCACCTGCAGTCCACCTCTTACTAACCAGTTTTGCACTTGAGCTTAACCTTGGAGCCACAGGTTTCCCACACCAGACCCCCTTTGCGGGGCGGCGGGGTAACTGTAAAGATTAAATGTGAACTACAACAGGCATTTAAGAGAATGTTAGTTTGGCTCCTGGACTAACATCCACCTTTCTGGGAACTTCAAGAGCACCTTTTTCTCTCCCTGCTCCATCTCCTACCATTATCACTAGGCATTCCAGTGAGCTCTCAGCATCTTACAGTCTGACTCCCTTTCTGCTCCAGGTTTTGGTGCTTTGTCACCAGCTTCATACATGACAGATACCAGCCTTGGGAGATGCAGCCAATATGTGCAGCCTGGAATGAACTGAGTCTCTTTTCCCCGAGAGCCCGTGGCCCACTCCCTGTTGACCTGCATGTGTCAAGGTTTGGATCCTTTATTCAGAAAACTGACCACCCTTTTTCAGATTCATAATTAACCGTGCATAACTCCTACACTCGTTTCTGCCTTTCAAACCATAATCCTTAATTCCTTGTTCTACCCTCATATCGAACGTTTTCTTGCTAAATGCTGAGGGGTATCTAAGAGGCAAGGCAGCCCAGGCTCTGCAAACCAGTCATGGAGACATGATCCTGTCTCCACGCTTCCAACCGTGACACCACAGGTTAGATGTTGACCTCTCTAAGCTTTCAAAGTTCCACCCATCCACCAAGGTCCCCAAATAAAATGAGGTTTATTTAATACTCTCTTTCAAGGGCCGTTGGTAAGGATTAAATGGTGGGGAGCCTCCAGCTCAGAGAACCCAAGTTTCATTCCCTTCCCCCACCCCCCTCTGCCAAAGGTCATCATTCTTTATTCTCGTTAAAACCTTGACTATGCATTAGGGCAACTTCAGGCACGCCTGTCAAAGGCAATCACAGCCCCCAAGTGCCCTCTGGGGAAAGGCTTTTCCTAACTCTACCAACCCCCATGCCCAGTTTCTCTCCCACGCTTCCTGACCATACTTGCCCAAGGGGGATCTGTACATGCTGTCGCTCCCTGTCACCACCAAATCCTCCATCCTCACCTCTCCAGGGAAGCAACCCACTGGAGCTGCCCAGAGACTGCTGTGAGCCAAATCCAAAGATCAAACCTTGTCCTCCTTCTCCAAGTCCTTCTTACCCAGGTGATCCATTTATTCACCTCTATATTGAAAGAGTAGCCATGAGAGAATACTCTCAGCAAGGATGGGGTATAGCAATGACAGAGGCACACTGCTGTCCTTTGGGACTCTGCTGCTGGCTGTCTTCCGATTCAATGGCACTTGTACCTCTCCTACATCTCCAAACGGTCCTCCCTTCTCCCATAAGGTCATCCCTTGACACTCAAAACATGCACCATTCTTCTTCTCCATCTGTGGATTTACTATGGTACAGGCTCCTTGGACGCTGTGCCGTACTTTGATCATATAGGTCCCCTACAAATAATGCCTGAAGGACAAAGCCCAGATGAATATTTCCTGCTTGGATATTTCTTGTTCCATCTGGGATTATCACCACCCCCTGCTGCTCTCTCAAGTCTTGGCCTAATCTTTCTAATTTCCTCTGCTGCAGTGATACCATCATCCTATTCATCTTCCCTTGATCCCACACCTCTGACCACTGTTAAGCTCTGCTGGTCCGGGGGTCCTGCCCTCATGCTGCTGGTTCGCAGTAACACTATGCCAACCTTAGCAAGACCTCTGGGTTTCCCCAGTTAATCCAGTCAGTGAGGAGCCTGGCTCTTCTTCTAAGTCAGACTGTTAAGACTGTGGTTACCAATTCTTGTTCTAAGATCTGAGTGAGGATTAAGGAGAAGCAACAGGTAATAAACTAATAAAATCCACAGTGCACTCATTTTAAAAGAGGGTTTGAGCTCAGGTTAAGAGCTTCGATCCAGTTAAAAAAAAAATTTAAAAAAAAAAAGCGTATCCTAAAGCTGATCCCTGCAAAGACATATTTATGAGACAGTTCCCTGTATGAACCAGGAATTGACAGCACTGACCCAAGGTCAGAAGGGATCCCTTATCAGGGAAGATTCTAAAGTATAAAAAGGAATCAGTTTCCCTGGGTAATAAGTTTACAGGCTGCTGCACCAGCCTGAATGCATGGAGTCATTCAAAGGAGAAAATTTGGACCCTAAAATCTGGAACTGCCTCCTTATCTTACCCCTCACATGACCTCTTTTGTTTGGCCCAGACTGGGCAGCAGTCAGAGGCCAGAGTGACCTTTAAAATTACAATGCAGACATCACTCCCCTGTTTAAAACAACTCCATGGTCTCCCCCTAAATTCTGAATAAAATACAAAATCTTCCATTTGATCTGCAATATCCTGCCCACCAGGTTCCTCTAAGGCACGGGCTCTTTCCAGCCTCCTGTCTTTGGCAGAATGCAGTGTATCTGCTGGTATTCACTCCTCACATGCCCAGTTCTTCCCAGTTCTTCTGAATTTAAATACAGCTTTTTCCAAGGGGCCTCTCGGATCTTCCAATCTAAATCAGGCCTTTCCCAGCAAGCACCCAGCACTCTTCCTATCCCAATTTCCAACCTACTTTTGATTGTATGGTTATTCAGTGTCGGGCTCCTGTATGGACTATGAGCTTCACAGGGCAGGTACCACTTCCAGTACTCTCTCTCCAGTTCCTAGAATAGAACCAGTATCCAATCAACCTTTGCTAAATGAATACTGGGTTCTGCAGCAGATCTCAGGACACAGAGGCATACATTCACTGTGGAAAAAAAACCTTGCAGAAGTAGATACAGCAGTGGTGTCAGAACTACTGAGAGTTGTAGCCACACCACTGGCTCACACCGGAGTTCATATTCCAGATGCATCCTGACCCTCCTGTCACCCACCCCTTAGAAGCTACAGGCACTGCTTGGTAAGGGTGGAAGCCCACATCCGGACAGGAAGGGAACTCTTCAAGCTACAACGCATGCCAGCAAGAGGAACACCGTTTAGACAGGTGCACAGGGTGCTTTTTTCTTAGTGGAAGTGCCTTGAATTCTGGAATTCCCAGGCAAAAAGGCCCAAAGGACCTCTTTCACTACCCTTTATTCAGAGCAAGTGAAGGTCAGTGGCCTCAAATAGAATCTTCCCCTAAAGTCATGTTCACTCACATAAAATACACCTGACTTCTGACTTGAAAGAAAAACAGTGCGCAGCAAATCATGAGGGAAATAATAGGTTATGGTAATGACAGTGGTAAACATAAGCTAATCTTCATGAAAAGCAAATTATAAAAACATCAACAGCTTTGCCTAGAGCTATTAAGTAATTAAGGGGGCTTTGGTTGGGAGGGTAGAACATAAACTGTGCAAGAGGTACAGAGATGTACACGGAACTTCAAGAGTCAGCCTGCTCTCCCAGAGGTGGATGGGTTTCCAAGGGAAAGCATAAAGCACAGTTTATGTATCAACTGTGTTTATATATACTATGTGCATTACTTGGAATATTTTATTTTTACTACACATAGAATTCTAAGGGTTCACTCCATGATTTATTGTTTATATTTTGAAGTGAATATTTTGCTCCAAGCACACACTTTTAATTATATGACCCTCAAGGGGAAAATAACAATTTAAATAATTTTGCTTAGAGCCAACTTTTTCCTCTAGAGAAGACTAGCTTACGAGCCCAGGTTCTGGAGTTAGACCATGGCCATTTAAATCCTGGCTCAGGGTACTCTTTAGCTGGGTGATCTCAGAGCAAGCTACTTTTGCATTCCTCAGTTTCTCGACTGTGATAACAGAATTACATTTTTCACTTACCTTATAAGCTTACTGTGGGTATTAAATGAAATGATTCCAAAAAAAATCATTTATAACACTACCAAGCACAGGGTAAGCATAACCATCGACTATAATTATTCAGTAAAAGTGAAATTCCTGGGTTAGGAAGAATACCTTTGGGTGGCATATGACTTAACATACCATTTTCATTGAATTTTTGCGTGTATCGTTTTGGTTTGATAGTCCACTCTGAACAACTATTATTAACTGTGGCTAAGTAATTTAATAATTTCTATTCTGCCCCTTGCAAGCTTCCTCAGGTTGGAAGTGAATGTCAGAGACATTAGAGAACATGGTGTGGGTGTATCTGGAGGACCACAAGGTTGAGTGGAAGAGTTCAGAGAAGGATGACAAGAACTAGAAAACATTTTTCTGAACCTGTGTTCTATAAATCATAAAACACTGTCCAGGTCACCGGCATGAGGATCTACAGGGCCTGTGACACTTGTGACATACCTAATAATCCTTTTATGGCAACAGAAGTCTTATAAATGAATGGTTCCGGGCCACTATTCACATGGAGAGAAAATATCAACCTCCTTTTACCTGTCTTGACAATGACTTCAACTCACCTTCCCAGAATAACTGCTTCTGGCTTAAATCATTAATTACTTCTGAAATGTCTCCAGCTGCTGCATATAGATTTCTAAGAGCTGTGAAAGGTAAATGCATTTGAGGCTCTACAATGGATATTTGTTTGTAAGCAACCCCCTGCCCCTGCTAGACTTTTAAGCTTCAGAGGCAATAACAACAGAAAAAAGAAACACAATTTCATGAGAACTAGCTCTTCTGTGAGTTCTATGGTGCCAGGTCCAATGACAACTGTGCAATAGCTGGGACTCAGGAAAACGCGGGCAGGAACAGACAGTAGCAGAACATGCAGACTCCTTTTCAGCAGGTTTCACTGAGACCAAGACTGCTTGTAGAAACACAGCCTCGAAAGCAAGCCACCTATGAAAAATAACCGAGCACCATGCCCCAGTCTCCTGCCACATACAGCCATGCCCCCAGTTCACAGAGAGATGATGGCAATTATAGTCCAACAGCTTACATTTATCAAGTGCTTACTATATGTTAGACTCTCAGAAATTATTTGCTTGCAGTATCTCACTTAATTCTCATAACAAGCCTTTAAGGGAGATAAAATATTAATTTCATGGCACAGTTAAGGAAACCAAGGTCACACACCTGATATGTGCTCCAACTAGGGCTTGAACTCTGGGAGACTAATTCCAGAACGTGTGTTCTTCGCTATGGAAAATTTATAGCAATGTAGCAATTACCAGATCTGTTTATTTACATAGAGGAGGGTAGGCAACAATCATAAATTGTTCCAAACCACATTATAACCTCACAAAGAATTTGCAATTTCAACTCCTATTCACAGCTTCAGTGTCCTAACTAAGCATTGCAAGGGTGTTAGTGGGGGGGGGCAGGGTAGGGGGGTAGTTCAGTAGAAAAGAAATGAATCTCAAATAGTTCTAGTTCTTAAGGATCCCACAACCCAAAGACAGAGACCTCCAACTAAAATCCAACCTGATGAAGGCCCATCAAAGCCAAGCAGCAGATGAAGTCTAGGGTAGCTAACAGGGTATGTGTATGTATTAGGAGGATAAAAGAGACGGTACTTTCCTCGTTCCGCATTTATTAATTTTTCAATAGACAAGGATGACATTGGAATTGTTGCTTCATAAGGAAACTTTAAATTTCCTTTATGGTTTTTGCCTATTGCTCAACACATAAAACAATAAAATGCACCGTCTGGCATGCAGCCCTTGCAAATATGCCACTCTCAGAATTCTTCTCCTATTTTACTTACAAATTAAGTTGCAACCAAGTCAGGCTGCCAACACTGTAACAGTGCAAATTTCACACTGGGTGTTTTCACCAATCATATTAAGAGTCACCAACATTTGGAAGTGCTAAACGCTCACGGATAGGTGAAGGGTGTTATTTCTTTGAACTGCAGAATAGAACAGTTTCCTCCCAACAAATCAAAGCCCCAACCATATCACATTGATTTAATTCAAAAAACTCTAATTAGTGGTTACATAAAATAGCTAATTATGTCTCCCTGGATTCAGACAGTTTCTGCCATCTCCCTTAAAGAGGCTGGGAGCTGTGTAATCAAACAACCCACCCACAGGAAAGAGAATGCTAATTAGCATTGTTGATTGGTGACACAAGTTGTAATATTTTTCAGCAACCCTGTAAAATTTATAAACATGTCAGTGAAAACACCAGATTCTCTACAGCTTGCTAGCTTTTGGAATAAGTCTTTAAGAATACATCCATTTGTAACCACAGCCCCCTCAAAAAAGGGCTTTAACGAACTGCACGTACTAGCCATACAATGGCACCCCGCCCTAACACCACCCCATGAGCATGGCACGGAGCCCTTTCACGGCGTGGGCATTATACCTGGTTTGGAAGTGTAAAAGCTGAGCAACAGATTTCTTGGGCTGCAAGTCTCACCAGCTTCTCGCCAGCCGCCAGGCCGCGGCTCCGCCCCACTTCTACCTCCACCACCGACGCGTTTAAATTTTTATAAAGCTTCACACTTTTCTGGGCGCGTTGCTTGGGGCAGTTCAAAGGCTGCAGGAGGAAATGAGGTCCTGCCCGTGGCGAACATTACCCTAGCACAGCGAGACTTCCCAGGGTAGGAACATCTCGGCAGAGACTGGCCGGCACGACTCTGCTCCACCCCGGCTTTTTTGAAAGTAAACTCCTACCTGCCTGTTGCGCTCTCCGATGCGCCACCGGACGCGCCTCCCCAAGGCCTCCGGGCTGGCTCAATTTTGCAAGGGAGGTGTGAAACACAGGCCAGCTCTGTCCCGGTACCTGGCGATTGGCCAGGTGGCACCCGGGCGCTGGCGATTACACGAGTCCAGTCCGGCAGCCGGGTGGGAACCCCGGTGCGCGCCCGAATTCTGGGGAGCGCAGAGCCGCTGAGTCCCCACCCCTTTTGGCCCAGATAACTGCCCCCATCGATGCTCTGCACTCCCTAGCGGCCGGCACGCGCACCCAAGTGGCGCACCCCAAAGGCCAGTCAGGGGTAAAGGGGGGCGTCCAAGATACGCGCTGGAGTCGGGTGCAATGGAGAGCGCAGGGCAGGGGCGGGAAGGCGCCCCGTGCAGGGATGGGTGGAGTGGGGTCCCGGGAAGCGCGATCCGGGAGCGGTCTGGAGGAAGCCCAGGGAGCCACGGGCCAGAGAAGAGAGGGCCGCGAACCGCGATCGGAGTCCGGCGGGGGGAGTGCGGGAGGAGGGCGCAGGGGCGCGCCGAGTCCGGACGGGTCATCTCCCCACCCGAGGTCTGCCTGTAGGCCGCCGCCTCGCCGCGCACGGCCTCCCGCGGGACTCACCTCCGCGCTGGCCGGCTGGGCTCAGCGGCCCGCGGTCTCGGCTCACAGCGGCCGCGTCCCTGCGGCCTGTGCTGGGCTCTTGTAGAGGCAGAGCCCCACCACCGCCGCCGCTGCACTGCTGCTTTCCGCTTCCTGTCCCGGCGCCGCCCCGCAGCCCCAGCCCAGCCCTGCAAGCCCAGCGCGGCCGCGAGCCAAGAGCTGCGAGCGCTGCGGGCCCCGCGGCGGGCCCGGCCCACCTGCAGCGGGGGGCGGGGCCGACTGGACTCGCTAACACAGGGGCCGGGGACGACACCCCCCCCCTTACATACATTCACCTTCATGTACACACTCACACTCAAACACGGACAGACATCCAGCAACCCACTCTTTTTTTGGGGGGCATACACTCACATGCATCACGAATACATGACCCAGGGATTTACCCACCACCCCAGGCTTGCACTCCCAAGCTCATGCACATACACAGATGCACGCATAATTAGAATTATGCACAAAATCCAAATCATTTGCTTTCACATAAGGCCCACATATTCACAAGGCTCAGGAACTAACTTCCACCTCCCCCAAGACACACTCTCAGTTACACATATTACAATAACTGACCCACAAATATTCATATACACCCAAGTCTCAATCCACATAGTATTCACACTTAAACGCACCAGTACCTCCAAGAAATGACTCCACAAATAAATAGCCATACATACTCACACTACTACAGGCTGTCACTACTCCTCCCCTAGCAGAGCAGGCATTCCCCGCTCCAAGTCTCCTAGAAATTGCTGAAAGAGTACATTTCTGGTGACAGGTAGTCCAAGGTTCTGTGCTGATTCAACCTCGTCTACTTTTTTTTTCTGCACCTTTGTTTCCCTGTCTGAAAAATGACAAGGATGCTAATGTGGACCTTGCAGGATTGTGATGAGGTTTATGGAAAGTGGAAATGCCCAACAGGGGAGGAGCAGTGGGCAACTATTTTCGTGAATATTTGCATTCTTAGTTGCCTGGTGTTGTTAGGGTTAGGGATCCAGATTAAGTATGTCAGATCTAGCTGGACCCAGAGTTGCTGCCATGACAAAATTTTCTAATGGAGGCAGTGTATAATGAAGTGCTGAATTTGCAAGCGTTGTCTACAGGAGTATTGTGAACATTTGGGCTGCGAAACTCATCAAATCCTGAACTGTCTTAGGGACCTTTAGCCCCAATCAGCCCTTAATCCCCTATCACTTCTCTCTTATCCCCTCTTGCACTCATTTCTCCCTTATATATTACACATCCTAAGGGGAAACCCAGATGTTCAACTTTACTGATTTTCACCACTCCCAGGATCAGGATCCACTGCCCCCCCTTGGTACCCCAGACCATTTGCACCCCCACACCTGACCTCTCTGGGCTCCTTAAGAAGATGCTGCAGACTCCAGCACAGCTAGATTCCCCCAGGTAAGACCAGTTGACTGTCCACCATGACTGGGTGTAAAACTGTGGGGCTTTGCCAAAAGTATCTCATTTTGACATGAAGAATCTTTAAAATTAAGCAGTTTTTGTTTGTTTGTTTGTTTTGTTTTGTTTTGTTTTACTCAAGTTGTGATGCTGCTGTAAAATAGAGTCCTCAGTGAATTTTCATGGAAAGTAATTTCAGTTTATTTCGGTTATTACCTCTAGTCACCATACAATGTTTTTGTGGGAAAGAAGTATAATCTCAAGCTATTTTAAAATATTAAATTCACTTTTAAATACTATTTACTATTTGTTTTTATCCAACAATGTTGGATTTTAAAGTTGAGAAGGTTAGCACTGGAAAATTCTGGGGCACTGAGTGATTGTCAGATATTGTTACGGCTGTTGACTGGTGAGGAGTCCTTGCTTCCGCCAATGCTGAAGTATAACACCAGAGTCGCACACCAAGGCAAGTGTAGAGTGGAAAGTAGAAGGTTTATTAAAGGATAACAGAGAGGACTTCTCCCAGGAGGAAGGAGGGGACCCAAAAGGCCGTGGAAGGGGGAGGTCTTCCCTTTTTTTATAGCTTAGGTCTTCTTCCAGTTTTCCCACACTCAGGTCTTTTGTTTCCCTTTATCTTTCAGCGATAGAATGCAGGTGGGAAGGTCCAAAAGGTGGGAGACAGCTAGGAGCTGTTTCATTAACAGTTCCTTAGAATGGGTTCTAAGGGCCTTGGGAACATTAACATTTCAATTTCCCCAAGTGCTGCTCTGGTTTCCTGGACTCCATTCTCTATAAAGGCCTGCATTTTCTTTATTTTACTCCATGTTAGACCCGATTTACCTAACTACACTAACTACCTATCTTTGAATCTAGCTTCAGTATCACCTAGAGAAACTGCCTGTGGCAGTTTTCAGACATTGTTGGCTCTCCCCTGAAGGTGAGTCCTCCAATTTAGGCTAAATCAATAATAAAGGTAATATTGTGGGCACTCCTTTGTCTCACTCATCCATTTACTGGAAACTCAACTGGGGAGGAGAGATCCTGTGTAGTGGGTGCTCTCACGTCTTCAGCATGGCTGCATCCCACGCTTGCATGTGAATATTTCATCCTCTTTGCCGTTCTCATAGTTTTCCCGAAGTCTAGAATGCTACCTACTAAAATTCTTCACATTGCCAAGATCCAAATCAAATGTCACCTGTTACACAAAACCTTCCCCAGTTCTCCCAAACAGAATAGTCTCTTCTTCCATTTAAATTCTCAAAACTCTCTGATTTTTTTCTGCCTACTTTCTAACCTTGTGTTGGCTATTTGCATCTTATCTCTTCAATAATATGTAAATATCATGTCTTATTTGCCACCCCCTTTTTTTGTATTACAGATCTTTCCACATAGTAGCTGCTTTAAAATATACTTAGCAAAGGAATGAATGACTATCCAAGACTTCTTGCCCTTGGGAAACTCATAACCTAACCGGGGAATAATCTTGTTGAAAAATCCTGACATCTGCACATAAGATAGCTAACAAGAGGAAACATATAAAGGCTGAATGCTCTAAAATCATACTTTTTGAAAAGTTAGACATCCAACCTTGAGAATTCTGAATAAAGCCCCCAAATGGGAGTTCAGTGAGGAAAAAAAAAAACCCCTCTGATCAACAAATTAACTTACAGAAGTCTATGTTTTAAAGCAGATAGACTTATCAATAGAAGATTCTTGCCTACATTTAAATACTTGTACACTGAGTTTGCAGACAATTCTAATAACCTTCATTATCTAATTCCTAAGTCCCTTATAGATTAGAAACACATTCAGAGAAAGTCAGAAGCTGGTGGCGGTGTTTCACGCCTGTAATCCCAGTGGTTTGGAAAGCTGAGGCAGGAGGATCTCAAGTTCAAGGTCAGCTTCAGCAACTTAGTGAGTCCCTAAGCACTTTAGTGAAATCCTGTCTCTAAATTGAATATAAAAAGGCTGAGGATGTGGCTCAGTGGTTAAGTGCCCCGGGTTCAATTCCTGGTACCAAAAAATAAAAAAATAAAATGAAGGGAGTCAGAGGCGATCTCAGAGGGACACCAGCGACTGCAAAGGGGGTCATTATGAGGATCATTTGATTCCAATGCTCACAGCCTTCCTTTTACCAGGTATTCCTCCTGACACAAGACCATACCACAGGAAAACATTCAGTCTCCCAGGAACGAGCCTGCATTGTAAAAGCCTAGAGGGATGCTCTCTATGCAGTATTATGTTTAAGAAGACAGCGAAGCAGTGAAGCAAACCTTAGAAAAATTTCCCTGCAAATGCTTGACATGTTAAAAAGCGATGATTCTTTAAAGAGCCATTGTCTATAAAATCTACATATATGTAATGTCCATTTAGTGGTTAAATAAAGTAGTGATGAGATGCTACCATACGGGTCATGAGTGCCCAAAGAAGAGGTTCACACAGGCCGGAATGGTCAGGGAAAGATTTCTAGGGGAGAGTCAGTTTGTCTTCACCTTAAGAAGAGAGAAATGAAATATTCATCGATGGAAGACGGGCACTGGAAGAGCAACGGGTCTAACCCAAGCACTCAGTGTCTTCATGTTGAGTCAATGGGTCAGCAGTATTTCTGTGAAGTGTGGGTGAGGGTGGGGAGAGAGAAATGTTAGGGATATACCCCAGGGCAGGGAGCAGAGCAGTCAGAATCAAGATAAGGGCTTATCCAGAGACACAGAGCCATCAAAATTGAGTGACTAGGATTAGAAAGTATGAGTGTTTGAACTTTTTAAAACAGGCTAGCAAAATGATAAAGTATTCATTCATCTAAGAACAGATACAGACAGAGGGTTTTAACTTGACTTAAGATCTACTTGCAAGTTTTCAACTTTGCAGTGGTGCAAAAGCGATATACATTTCATAGAAATCATACTTGGAATTTTGGATTTTGAACTTTTCCTGGGCTAGCAGTCTATGGGGACCCTCAGTGAGCCCCATGATCAAGAGAGTGAACAGCTGAGCAGTGTACTATGTGGCCACAGTTTTGTTTGGGGTTTTTTTGATACATATATCTAATAATAGCCAGTACTCTAAAATGAATTTTTTGTTAGATGCTTTTTCCCAACTGTAGAATAACTTAAGTGTCCTGAGCATATTTAAGGTA